TGCCTGAGTCTTTTAATTAATTCATGGCCGTCAACATCGTGTGATTGTAAAATCCCAACTGAAAGTGACCACACGTTTTTAAGCAAAGGAATGTTACCTGAAATAAATAAACTGAGTCAAAAAAGAAACTTCACATTCTTTCTTCAGGGCACTATAAAAGAACAAGAGATGGTAAGATGGTTAAATTGTTATTATTTCATTGCTGAGATCTGTGTGATGTACTCGATACACTGACAGTGCCATAATCAGTTCCATTAGGCTACACCGCTGTTCCAAAACATGGGTATACAGAATGTCAAGTCACGAGAATAAAAATGCGAAATTTCTCAGTTCAATATCGTGTATGGCCGCCCTGTGCATTCACCACTGTCAAACACCGTCTCCTCATCGACTGCCTGATGCTTGTGAACACGTTGTTGGGGATTCTGCACCATTGCTCTTGCAAGGCGGCGCCAAGTTCCTGCAAATCCTGAGGTTGGTTCCTAAGACCACGAAGCCTTCTCTCAAGTGCATCCCTAACGTGCTCTATTGGATTAAGGTCAGGGGACCTCGATGGCCAGTCCATGATGTTGATTCCAGCAATTTGAAGGAAATGTCGTGTCAACATCGCGGTATGCGACCGAGCATTATCATGCTGGAACTGTAGACCTGGGCCATGAGCCGCCATGAAAGGAACGAGTTCAGGGGTGAGCACCTGGTCGCGGTAAGCAGCAGCTGTGAGGTTTCCACGGATGACCAGAAGTCGGGAACGGTTGTTCCCACAGAAAGCACCCCACACCATGCACCTTCCGCCCTTGAATCTGTCGACTTCCTGTACACAACATTGGGCATACCGTTCACGACGTCGTCTCCAGACTCTATGTCTGCCGTCCGCGAATCTGAGGGTAAACCTGGATTCATCGCTAAAGACGACTTGATTCTAATCTCTCTGGGTCCATCGGAGGTGACGTTGGGCCCACAGCAGACGTTGACGTTGATGAAACGGCGTCAATATTGGCCCACGATATGGACGTCGAGAATGGAGATTGGCAGCCCGCGACCGATTTCGAATGGTCTGTGAGGACAGTCGACCTCTAAACATCTCAGCCCTGGTTCGTGTAGCCGGCAGAAATCTGTCACGTAGGTGACGTAGGACGATTTGACGGTCTTCTGCTCGTGACGTCACACGTGGACGACCCAACCTTGGGCGATCAGAAGTGGTGCCAGTTTGTTGTAGAGGACCTCGCAAGTCATACACAGTACGACGGCTGCATCCCATTGCTCTTGCGACGTCAATAACTGATCTTCCCGCTTGCAACATGTCAACGGAACGTTCACGTTGCACATTTGACAATCGTGGCATTTCAAGTACCGTTAGAACTGTGGTTTAAAAGTGTTTTTTTAATTCTTGAGGCCAATGCAAACACGTGCATATGAAGAAAACTTTGATGCGAAGATCACGTGATCGACTGCACGTGCAAAACCTGATTTGGCACTAACGTCATTTGCACGAGGAATGGATGGGTTTGAGTGGGTTTTGCTAACGTTTTTCTAGATTCGAAAGATAGGGATCCTATTTCGGATACATAGATGTATCATCAGAGAATAAATATTCATTATTTTTCAAATTACATTTTGTGAAGTTTCTTTTTTGACTCAGTATATGTTCTGTAACCCTGAAACTGTTTTAATGTTCATTTTCGCTCGTAGAAGAGGACAGACTTGCAGAAATATTTTAATGTCTGTTATCTGAAACCTTTTCTACGGAAACAAAAAATATTTCCATTTCCTCAATACATGAGTTTATTTTCCAGAAAAACTGCTCAATAAATACAATGTGAGAAATAGCAATGAATAAATCTAACAGCTAGGAACATGGACATGTGGTGGGAGTTGGGGTGTAGCCTAGTGGTTAAAGCGTTCGCTCGTCGTGCGGACGACCCGAGTTCGATTCCACACATGCATGGGTGCAATGTGTGAAGCACATTTCTGGTGTCCCCCGCAGTGATAATGCTGGAGTACATGTATTGCTAAAAGCGGCGTAAAACTAAACTCACTCACGTAGTGGCCACGTACATAGAGCGTTTAACAGGAAAGTAAAGGACTTTGCGACGATCCTCTGACCTCCATGTGCCAGAATTTGTAGAAAGATGGTACTGTCTTTTATCATTTCTTGCAGTGTCGTCATCAGGTTTCCTTTCTTTCTTTAAATCTTATGAATAAATTATATATTCCTGTTCAGTTTCTCAAATGCGTCATACACAAAAGATGGCCCAACATTTCAAGCCATAAAGCATTACAAAAGTTTACATTTCAATTACTGAAAATGTATAGTGACGTCACTATTTTTAAAAATGGCGGTGCCATGTCGCGAATATCCACCAGTCTGAGAATAAATGCTATTTAGGTTTGTTTTCACCGAATTACAAAATCAAAACTACTTTCTACTGGTAGTAAAATATGTATTTGATTGATGGCCAATATGATTTTGCATGACATAGCTTATAACATAACATAGCTTATAACATATGTGTGTCTCCTGGAAGCGAGGTGGGTGTCAATATAACACTACTTACAATATTATTCTCACTTCGACCACAACCTCGCTTCATATGAAGAAATAGTTGTGTCAGACTCGATTATTTACAGACCGCCGCCATATAGCTACACTATTGCCGAGTGCTGCGTTAAACAACAACCTGCTACGTCATATACTCCCCTCACATTTGGTGTCCTGAACACATATAAAACCTATCCCTTTCTTTCTTTGTAGAGTATATGAGCGCCACCAAATAATATAATCTTCAAACACGAAACGAATCGATTTAATCTGTTTCCTGTTGAGCAAGGCTCCATCAAGTCAAAATATGAAATGTGTTCCGCTATAATTCTATGGTCCCCTGTCTTCAGTGTTGTGTATGGTGTGAAGACTATTGAAAGAAAGGTGATTTCAGTGAGAGTTATGGGGTCTTATGAGATCAGAAAAAAAGAAAAGTGTTGATAATGAGTGAGTGAGTAAGTATGGTTTTATGCTTCTTTAAGCAATACTCCGGCAACATTACGGCGGGGGACACCAGAAATGGGCTTCACACAGTGTACCTATGTGGGGGCATCTTGATAAGTCCCAGGAAAGAATGCTGTTACATGCTTCCATTCAGCTAATGTTGAGACGTCTTCATTGACAGCCACCCTGGTGAGTGAGTGAGTGAGTGAGTTTGATTTAAGGTCAGCTTCTTAATGTTTCAGTCCTCTCCTGACAAGTTGTTTGGAAAGGTATAGTCTCACCACACAAAGAATTTGTATATAGTTCTGAAGGAAGATACGAAATGTTAGTATGTGTAGCACTGAAAAAACAGAAACATACCAAACGTTAAGTAAATATTTCCTGTAATATGTCGCTGAGAAGAAATGCGTCGATAATTATGTCATGGAACAGAACAGAATTGTAATTATTTGTCTGGTCACAAACTGTATGATATAGCTTACGTGTTCAGAATTGTCGGATCATGTCATGTGTTATGCGTACATATAAAATAGAGTATGGAGGAAGTATTTCTTGTGAGAGGGACACATTTCCCTGTAAGTCACTGATATAGCTTATTAAGAATCACAGCCAGATGTACGGCTGGAGTTGGAGGAGGTCATTTGTGGTTTGTTTTCTCGTGGATGTATATGGATAATAAGTACCTATATTGTACAGCACAGAGGAAATATTTGTTGTGCGAGGGATAATCTCCCTGTCAGTCACTGATATAACTTACCAAGAAGCACAGAGAGATGTACGGTTGGAGTTGGATGAGCGTCATTTGTGTTTTGCTTTCTCATGGATGTATAGGTGGAGCTAGGACAGGTGAGACAGATACACTCATAACATTCATGTATTCCTGAGTGGGAAATAACACAGATTTTGAAGGTGCACCCTCGTATGTATGTGTGCGTGATGTGCTCTCATGTGTGCTGTGTGTGTTTGAAAGAGAGTGTGTGTGAGAGAGAATGTGTGTGTGCTAGGCTGTGCTCTATCTCTGAGTGCTCTGTCTGTGTGTATGCGTGAGTAAGTGTGTGTGTGTGTGTGTGAGTGAGTGAAGGAATGACAGTTAATGTGTATGAGTGTGTGTGTGTGTGCGTGAGAGAGAGAGAGAGAGAGAGTGTGTGTGTGTGTGTGTGTGTGTGTGTGTGTGACATAGACAAGACAATGGAAGTCAGCATGAGGTCAGTTGAACTGAGGTTTAAAGTCATGTTGTAGCAGGTCTTTGTACTTCATTAGCAGTGTCAGTGGTATGTAACAACTTTCACACATGTTTATTCAACATTAGTTCTCATTAAAAATGTCATATAAATGCACTACTGATTTTATGGCTTTAATTGTTCATTTCAATTGATTATAGATTGATATTCCAGTCAAAATATTCCAATAACAATGAACAGGTGTCATTGTAGGGTCCAACGTGCATTTATCACTGAAGTACTTGTTGCCTTTCAGCTAACGTAACCTTCGGGGACAATGCTGCACTGTCCTGGTATCTACCGAAACCAACAAACAAGGAGTTCACAGTATGGAACACACACTCAGGGAAACCCATACTATCTGTAACCAACTACAATAATGTCATGAGCCTAGAATCTAGAATCACATTTACAGGGAGCATATCACCATCGGGAACAGGATTATTTAGATTTGTCATCAGTGATATCAAGTTCCATGACGAAGGCCAGTATGAGTGTTTTGTAGGACCGCAAGATAACAGAGGGTTTACAATTGATAATTGTGGACAGACACTTTTCGTGATGGGTATGTGTTACTCAAATAATATTTCATTCTCTCTCACCATATGCACATTTCCTGCTAATTAAAGGAAGCACATACATATATATTTTACGAATGAATTGATGTGTCAGTAAATGATAACTCGTTTCATGTTCTATCATTTTTGTATTCATTTAAAAAGACATCTGTGATGCACATATAATACATTCTGTATTTATCCTTCAGCTGCGTCAACTGTGTACATCAGGTATGGAGAAACATCAACTCTGGCCTGGAATTTGCATGGGTCTGGAATGAAAGAGTTTTTGGTCAGAAACGACTTTTGGAAGAGCACACTCTTTCACATTACCAAGTACAAGCAAGTGAACATTCCCAGTAGGACTCTGAGATCAAGAATAGTATTCACTGGACACATAACCTCGACTGGAACTGGTCTGTTCAGCTTCATGATCAATGACGCTGACGACCATGACTTTGGTCAGTACAGCTGCTACAAGGGTTCACCACAACGTCCGGGAGCAAAGGTCCCCAACTGTGGGCAAAACCTGGTTGTGATACGTAGGTCGTTCATTAACTGATACTGTTGTGAGGATGTTAGTCACGTGACTCACTGTTAATAAATGCGTTTTGTTCATGTTTCCAGAAAAGTATCATGTTTATGTGATGTCTTTGATTATCCCGTTTACAGCTTATATGATTCAGAACTCACTCACTTTACAAATGTTAATGTGTTTGAAACAGGTGTTCAAGAACCCTACATTGAGAGCCCGGGAAAGGCAACAGTCGGCGATTCTGTAAACCTGACATGCCATTCCTTTCTGAAAAGCTACCCCAACTGGAACCTGACCATGTCCTTTATGTGGAGTAGGAACGGAACGAGAGTGGAGCACGGCGGCAAGCATAAGCTCGAGTCTGTTAGCAGGAGCTGGACAGGCGGGCGATTCATGACGAGCACTGTGACCATCAGTGGTGTGACAAAGAAAGACAGAACAGAGAGATATACTTGTCAGTCAGTAGTTGTGGAGAATCTTCTCACAGATCAGAGTATAGACAATGTCCTTGGTGTATCGTGTAAGTAGTCCTTCCATATTTCACGCATCCATGATCGCATCGTGCTCTTGACTGATATCATTCCAAATTAAATTTACAAAATGTGATTTAGTAACACAACTTCAGTATAAAGTATTTGTTCTACAAAGTCAGGATGGTGTGAGGACCTGTCATTTGAAGCATTAACGTTATCGCCTGTAACCGTGCCCCATGCTCATCACAGAAAGCTTGTGTCTTGTTTTCTGAGATCAACATTCATTCTGACTGTAATATTTGGTTTATCATCACCAAATCCATGATGTTCAAATGTGGTATACAATTTGTCTCAGTCACTCAGCTCATTGCTTCTGTTGTTAACTCTTATTTTTGGGATACGCATTTATTGTTGCTTTCATTCCACATTGAACTCACGTGACGTATGAAAGAATTGCTCATGTAATGTGGTATAAAACATATCTCAACAGCTGTAATCATTGCTGTTGTTGATACAAAATCCCTTTAAGTGAACATTTACTATGTTACAGATATACCTGAAACTCACAGTAAACACACTGAAGTAGACGTGGGAGATACTGTGTTGCTTTCCATGAACATATCCGTACACCAGACAAAGATCTCCGTGATCGGTCCAACTGATAGAGTTGTGCTCGAGATGGACTCCACTGAAATCTACATACGGGAAGCCTACTGGACCAGGATCAAAGTTATGAAGGTCATCACTTCATTGGCTACAGTTGCTGTACAGTTCCAACTCTCTGACATCACATCATCTGATGCTGGGAGGTACTACTGTAGTTTGAAGCCTCGTGGACAGACAGGCTGTTCCTGGGATCACTTCCTGGTCGTTTCCAGTAGGTCAAACTACCTTTGTGATTTGAGCTAAAGGAAACTCGTATCTTTCTAAAATCAGTTGTACTAAATTACTAGACCAGCCTTATGCTTGATACATTGAGATTTATTTCAAAATTTGATAAACATACTCATTGATGTTTACTTTGTAAACAATGAATTCTGTGTTTATTCAACAGCCCGTCCACAACCTGATAATGTACGTGACTAGGATTAATCATTTCTCCCGTTTCTAAGATAAATTGATAAAAGTATTATATATGATATAATATATTCGCATTTTAGATGCTACCGTCACCGTACCAGCTTCACAGTCTGTCAGAACATCCACTACAGGTAATGTATCTGAGTCATATCATAAATGTTGTCTTAGTGGTTGTAGGAAACCTCAGATCAAATACTGAGAATAGTTGCTCGATGTCCGTGTGAGCTACACGATAGAAATACTGTGAGGACTAAATCTTAATTATAACAAAAGCCTATATTGTTTCGTTGAGCGATCATTCAAACAACAGGAAAGTATACCAAATTATATACTAAACCTTCCCTTTATGCATAATTCGTACATAAACATCAATAAATGTTTTAGATGACACTGTGACTGTACCAGCTTCACAATCTGAAGAAAGCTCTACTAAAGGTAAAGGATAATGCTTTGCAGGAACTTGAATTTTGCTTGAAGAAAAAGGTTTCTTTAATCCAAAAATGATATGCAAATTCTGTTTCATCTGGTAAAAGTTTCTGCATAATTTCTATAAATAAATATCGAAGACGCAGAAAAGAGCAAAAATGTGAAAAATGTCTCAAAGAAAGATATATGTTTCACATTACCGGTGAGCGGTGACATATTTTTTGCATGTATTATTTAAAACACAGCTTCTTGAACTTAACGTAGAAGCAGGCCATGAATTAGTACTGTTCTAAAATTGCACATTGTGTGAGACAATTAAACCTTGTACTATTAGAGAAATTAATGTACAATATTATCGATAACACATAATTTTCATGTGGATAATCATTACTGCTATTTTCTATCACTATTTCCGATTGTGAATTATTTTAGCTAGTCTCATTGCCTATGTTTACACTCAATGTGTATGTTAACACAGGGTATTTGACGTCCACTTCGAATGTGAGAGATGATCTGACAACTGTGGAGGCCACCATAGTCAAGGCCTCCTCTGTACCAGCTGATGATGATGCTAATTCATCATCTGGTATGTGTATGTTTCCATATAATCGGTAACTAAATAGCGATCGCTTATCAATAAATATCAAAGACATAACTTTGAAAAAATGACCAAAATATCTGAAATATACAATATATCTCACATATATAAGTTGTGACATATTCTTGCATGGATTATTAATAAAACAGCGTTTTGAACTTCATTTAGACGCAGCCAAGTCCTTAAAGTGCATATTGTGTAAGAAACTTAAAAAATTGTACTGTCACAGAAGTTAATGTACAATATTATCGATAACACAGTTTTCATATCGATAATCATTCATGATGTTTCCTATCAACGATATTTCCGATTATCGATTATCTTAATCAGCCCCACTGCCTATATTTACACTCAATGTACATGTTAACACAGGATATTTGACGTCCACTTCGACTGTGAGAGACGATCCCAACTGTGGAGCCCACCATAGCCAAGGCCTCCTCTGTAGCAGCTGATGATGATGCTAATACAACATCTGGTATGTGTATCCATATAAACACTTCCTCACAAATGACGCTTTCCTTTCATTCGAAAACATAGTCTTAGTCTTGATCTAAGAATAACTCAGATAACCTCTCTTCCAGGAGGGATGGAGACACTTTCTATGGTCAGCATTGGGCTGTCCGCAGCAACAGCGTTGGTGATGACGGTGATAGGAGTGTCACTCTGCCACAGAAGGATCAAGCGACGGAAAGGTAAGAGTCAGATAATGTTGAAATACTTTTGAAGAGATACATTCAGTGGTGTGTCAGGGAGGAATGAACCGAATCTCAGATTATGGACTATTACATAGGTGTTTGTACATGTACATGTTGTCTCGTGTCTAGGTACGGATGTTGCATCACCCCAGTGTTTATCGTATTTACCAGAATGTTACGAAGCGTCAGTTGAAGAATCCGTGCTTATTGGTATCGTTTCATATGTGATGTTCTGCAATATCAAATATACCTCCTGATTACCAAAGTATTCACACATTTCTTTAAAAATCGTCCCAAATCTCTGTGCCAAAATATTACCACAATATAATTTTCATCTTTGTGTTTTAGATGTATTCGAGCGAAATTCACAACATCATTTAAAATCTTGATAAATCTCACCTTTTAGTTTCTGGACTTATTTGCAAAACTGAATTAAGAATGCTTATTCTTTAAACACACCTTTCGTTGGATCATTTAACATTCGTATTCAACATGGTGGTGCACTCTTTTCCAAACAGACATTTTAATCAACAAGAAAATCAATGTCTCCCTTTCAGGGTCAATGAAACAAAGGTAAGCATTATGTTATCACTTACATATTGAGCTTAAAGCTGTTTTGGGGTAAGTATATCAATGTAAACGCAATGCAGTGAAACTGTTTGTTGTAGGGAGGGTGGTGGGTGTGGGTGTGGGTGGGGTGGGTTGGGTGTGTGTTTAACAAGGAAGTCGGCCAATTTCTTTTCATGACTAGATCACACCAGTGTGTGACCTTTATGCGACACCCTTCCCCCTCCAACACCAACAAATGTTTAATACATCATCCACGAAAGCTTCTAGACAGTTTTAAAGATTTGTGTTCTTTTCCACAGGATCCCAGTATTGTATATCTCTCCGAAGTACGACGAGAATGAAGGATACGAAATTATTAACCATATTTGAGAATCAAGTCCAATTGGAACCGTGATGATAGTTGAGGCACCAGAGGAGCAGTGCATGAACTGAGATACATCCGTTCAGATATATTTGGGACATCGCCATGATTAGCTGAACTACTTCATTTGACGTATAACAACGTTCAAGCTTTCAGTGGAACGAGGGGTTGGGCTGCAGTGAAACACATCCGTTCAGATATATTTGGGACATCGCCATGATTAGCTGAACTACTTCATTTGACGTATAACAACGTTCAAGCTTTCACTGGAACGAGGGGTTGGGTTGCCTAGTGATTAAAACGTTCGCTCGTCACACGGATAGCCTGGGTTCCATTTCCCACATGGTGTCCTCCGTCGTGATATTGCTGGAATATTGCAAAAAGCTAAACTCTTTTACTGGACTGACTACAAGTGTTCAATAACGTTTGGGATGGACGTTGTGAAAGAATAATAGGGTAAAGGCGTCACCTCCAGCACAAACAAATGACTGTATATGATGATGTTGGACGACGCTGTGTCGCCTAGACGCGAATAGATGAGGAGAAATATGTGATGTATTTTCTCTTCGAGACATTTTTGACAAACTGTAGCATTTAGAACTGGAACCATTGGTGCATAAAAAGGGTCAACTTTTTCTAGTACAGAGAGTGTGCTTATATAGTGATTTGGACTTTATTCAAGCTCCGGGTCTCCTATACACGACATCCCCTCGTTATAACGACTGGTTGAGCGTGGGGGAAAGTCACAAGTTACAAAAAGGACGTGGTACTTCCTGTAGGAAAATCTAGTCAATACAGTTCATGGCGTACACAACACTTCTTTTCCCGTGCAACTGGATGCTAATGATAAGAATTACTTTCGAAATAGTATTGAAAGAGGTAGAATAAAAGCAGGGGAATAGTTTTAAACATGTAAATGAAAAATGTAATGATATCAAATTATTTAATATTCTCTCCTTTCCCGGGGAAGCTTATTTGTTTGTTGTTGTTTACCGCCTCACTCACCAATGTTCCACCTATATGGCGGCGGTCTGTAAATAATCTAGTCTGGACCAGACAATCCAGTGATCGACAGCATGAGCATCGATCTACTCCCGGGGATTGGATTTTCCCCTCGTTTGATGTTGTTCAACTGTTGCTGTACATTTTTCTTGTAAATACATAAGCATGAAACTTGTAAGAATAAAAAAATATAATAAGTATTCTGTTTGTGAAGTGCGATGTATTTTGTGCTTTCATGTTGACTTTATAAGATATGTGTTGTTTCAAATAAATTCTGTTTAGTGCCTGTATACTTATCATCATCCATGTATAATCATCATCATTATCATCATCATCATTCTTAGAAACTGTGGAAGCTAAGTGGTTAAAACGTTGGCACGTCAAGCGGAAGATCCGGGCTCGATTCCACACATGGGTACAATGTGTGAAGCCCATTTCTGTTGTACCCGGTCTGAGTTTGCTGGAATTTTACTGAAAGCGGCTTAAAACTAAACTCACCCACACACTTAGAAACAGAAAATAGCTTCCTCGTCATAGCCAGGATGACAAATATGAGGAATGGAAATGAAACAAATGCATGAGTGTTTTATTTAATTCATGGCCGTCAACGTCGTGTGATTGTTAAATCCGAACTGAAAGGGACCACACGTTTAAGCAAAGGAATGTTACTTGAAGTAAATATGTTCTGTAACCCTGAAAATGTTTGAATGTTCATATTCGCTCGATTGTTAAAGAGGACACACTTGCAGAAATATTTTTATGTCTGTGATCTGAAACCTTTCTACGGAAACAAAATCCATGCATAAAATATTTCCATTTCCTCAGTACATGAGTATATTTTCCAGAGAAACTGCTCAATATATACAATGTGAGAACTAGCAATGAATAAATCTAACAGCTAGAAACATGAACATGTGGTGGGAGTTGGGGGGTAGCCCGAGTTCGATTCCACACATGGGTACAAGGTGTGAAGCTAATTTCTGGTGTCCCCCGCAGTGATAATGCTGGAGTACATGTATTGCTAAAAGCGGCGTAAAACTAAACTCACTCACGTAGTGACCACATATAGGGAGTGTTTAACACTGAAGAAAGGACTTTGCGCCGATCCTCTGGCCGCCATGTGCCAGAATTTGTTACAGAAGATGGTACTGTCTGTTATCATTTCTAGCAGTCTCGTCATCAGTTTTCCTTTGCTGTATTTACATCTTAAGAATATATATTCCAATTCATTTTCTCAAATGTGTCACACAAAACACATTTCAAGTTAAGCAACTGAAGTTTACATTTCAGTGGCTGGGAGCATTTATCTTATCAAATTAAGTAACCTCGACCTTGCTGAAAATGACAGAGGTCGTCAGTACTGAAATAAGGTTATAAAGCACAATTATATTTTAAGAGAATTAAATATAGGAGGATGTATATTAATGTTGTAAATAAATTCACGAGGGAATGTAGTGTTGTGATAAATATTCATATTGTCATAGTGTGCAATATTCTGTCCGACTATTTTATGAAGTCAGTGCACCCTTGAAGACAATCCAGTGATCAACAGCATGAGCATCGATCTACGCAATTGGGATACGGCTGACAAATGTCAACCAAGTCATCGAGCCTCGCCACCCGATCCCGTTAGTCCCCTCTTACGACAAGCATGGGTTACTGAAGATCAATTCTAACCCGGATCTTCACCGGTCATATTTTTACTGATACCAGAGACTACAGGGGACTGTCCGATAGCTTACAGTATTTATCCTTTAAGGTATGACGACAGACAGCTACGTCATATACTGTCTGTACATTTGGTTTCATCGCAGAAGACAGTACACAGCTATATATATATATTAGTTGCTGATAGTTGCTGCGTAGATCAGAGACTACAGATGGTTGCCCCGACTGCTTACAGTCTGTTGAGGTATGGCAGTTACTAATAACACGTCATATAATCTCCTCACATTTGGTTTCATGTTCCTGATCATATATACAACTATCCGTCTTGGTTGACACATGTCATCGGTTCTCAATTGCGCAGATCGATGCTCATGTTGTTGATCACTGGATTGTCTGGTCCAGACTCGATTATTTACAGACCGCCGACATATAGCTGAGTGCGGCGTAAAACTAAACTCACTCACTCACTTTGTTTATGATCCAGATGGTGGATGGTATTACTATTTGCTTCCTGTTGTAGTAGATGTCACATCTAACACAGTGACTGTCACCAGCACACAAACCTCAGCTGCGACAACTACCGGGGTACCTCTTTCTACAGCTACAACCGCCAACACTGACCAAAGTAATGTCATTCATTATTACAAAGTATTAAAATATTTTGAGAAAAAAATCTCGATCCATTTCATTGCCTTTAAATAAATGTGTGTGTCCTCTTTAAGTTTTCGGGTTTTTTTCATAAACCTTTTGTAGCAGTTCAAGGTCGAAAGGCTAACATGATTTTCTTAAAACCCAGTATCTTCTGCGACATTAAACTCTATTGGACCAAAGGATTCACAACACACATGGGAAACATGGTTTCAGTTAGTTACTGACTGCCAGGAAATAGATCAGTTTGGAAACTGAAGTGGAATTTTATATTTCAGGCGTTACTACGGTCGTCCTTTACATCATCGTCGGGTGTTGTGTCTTGTTTATTGTGCTGACTGTGTTCATCGTTGCAGCTATTGTGTTGATAAGGATCAAACGACAAGGTAACCTAATTTAATGTGTTCATAAAACCAGATTACTGTTTAGGTGAGTGAGTGAGTTGTGCTTTACGCCACTGTGAATCCAACGGGCATGTGTGCGGTCCTCTATACCCAGAAGCAGTGAGAACACTCATGCCTTCACTATCATCTATCAGGGTGGTTATCTCCCTTTGTCCAGGGCATGATTATTTGCTGGGACCATTAACTGTTAGCTTCCTTGTTAAGCGTCCACCATTGTCATCTGATCACTAGTCTTGTCACACATGTACTTATACAGGCATCTGCTTTGTAGTTTTCTTCATGTGGTGAAGGAGTAAAAATATACTCTGAATGTCGTGGCCCTCATATGACAGATGTTGACTTCAATAAATGTCATCCTTTTCATGTATCACTTCTAATTGTCATTCAGAGACCCTTTAATATCAGCTTATAATCACTTTCATCCCTCTGACCTTGGTTTCGTTTTCAAAATAATGTCAAACATGAAACATTAAGGTCATCATTCCTATTTTTCAGATTACTGGAACTTAAGGTAAGGGTATTCTGTTTATTCACCAATTGTTCGAATCAGTCATATAATCTTACTTGTGGTCATTTTCACACGTAACAAGGAAACATTCCACTGAGAACTTAAGACCTATCTTTTTGTCTGTGATCTGACAGGCCTCTGTAAACGCCTCTGAGCAAGCTAGACGGAACTCGGCACTTAACGTTTAGATTATAATACAGTCATATATGTAAATGGTATACACGTAGCCTTCTCTAAGGCTTACTATATTTCACAGGTCACGAGGATCGTACATCACACCAATGCAGAACATGCCAGAAAATATCGATAGTCGAGGCTATGCTGAAATCGACGATGCTGATTTACTTGAACGTGGCGCAGGCAACCTTGCACAACCTGTTGGTAATATCCAATCTGATGACAATATTCCACCTGGTGCAAGAATCGGGCGAGAAAGGCAACAGTTAGAACGTAACTGTAGGAAGGTAGATGAGGATGACGAATATGAAGAGGTGAAACCACTGGACACTATCAACAGTGAAGAACTTGCAGAAGAGCAAGAAAAGAGAGCTCAAATGCAGCAACCTGACCAGGACAGTGGGGAAGACATTACGGGTGAAATGAACATAACATTACCTGAAGCCTCCTCTCATTCAGATCTCCTGCTTGCTGTTGCTGATTGGTCGGTTCATGGAAGAGACTCTGGAAGTATGACAGCAGGGCGTATCGATGTGCTTGCAGAAACAAGCTTCATGACTCAAGACACTGATGAAACATGGAATGCACCCCTCGGTACTGTTGATACTGAGGAGTTATCAGCGACTATAGAAATATTTCCCGAAGTCGGAAGGATGACAGCAAACAATGCAGGAGCACATCAGCTCTCGATGGAAGGAAGAGGGGATAATGCTGAAAGTGAAGCACGTGGTGTCACTAATATAACAACAGATAATTATGACAGTCTGATGCCGCACCGATCTTGTGACACGTACACAGCGCTGGGTCATACAACGGATAAATAGTTCTCCAGCATCTGTTTCAAGTGCTGCATTAAACATGGAAAAGAGAATTATGTTTTCTTGTACCACTCTATCTTGTGGAGAATCAAATGACGCTTGTTCTGAAATATTCAAATGAAACTTTAATATGTTCACTTGTACGATACCTTTGTTTTAACTTGAAGGAACCATGAGCATATATATATTATTTATTTTAATTGTACATATTTCTGCAGTTTAGGCAACAAACATTGTTAGTATTAGTGAATATATTGTGTCATACATCGAAACGCTTACTTTACACTTGTGTTACATAGTGTGTTGTTTGTTTGTTTGTTGTTTAAGGTCGCACTCAGCAATATTCCAACTAAATGACGGCGATCTGTAAATAAACGAGTCTGGACCAGACAATCCAGTGATCAACAGCATGAGCATCGATCTACGCTTTTGGGATACGATGACTTGTGTCAACAAGTCAGCGAATCTTACAATTCGATCCAGTTAGTCGTCAATTCTCACCAGGATCGTCACTGGTCTTATAGCTGGAGTATTGCTGAGTGCGGCATAAAACTAAACTTGCTCACTCACTCATGGGTCTTGAGATAAGGCACAGATAGTTTAGGCCTTCGGTACTGACATGTTTAGTCGTCAGCACTTGACGTATATATTAGTTCCGTTCTGAGAGCTAAACACGTGGCGTACTTATAACACATTAACATGAAGAAAACGTGAGGTATTTAATGTACACATGCTATTTTGCATTTTATTGTACATAATTTACTTCAATAAAAACTATGCGTCATATTGGTTTTTGTTGTTGTGATTGGTGTAGTGATATGGCGGCCTTCTGAGAGAACACGAAGACGAGGAATATGTATTTAGTTAATCTATCTCCGTCTTGTCTGTTTTGGTATTTCGCATAATTACACCTGTTCGTGTGGGATCTGAAACAATGCATGTCCACAGAGAAAGCTATAGTTTCGCATCAAGTTCAACATAAATGCCATAGTATATAGCTTTGTTCAACACCTACTACATAAACGGTATGACTATCCTGTTGGACCAGGAGAGCCTACTGAACATTTCTAGGCACTAAGTATAAGCTACGATTCATTCTGTCAAAATTGGGTACAAATATGTCTTTGCCAGGACACAGATTGCAGTAGCTACAAGTGTATATAACTTATATAATTACAAATGGACCTATATTTGCTGTACACATGCGTAGGGTTTAGACAGACACACACAGATAGTTTATTTGAGTGTCACCTCATATATACATTAAAAGAACACGTAGAATAGGTAAAATATAACAATATAAGGACATATGTATGTATGTATGTATGTATGTATGTATGTATGTATGTATGTATGTATGTATGTGTATGTATGTATGTATGTATGTATGTGTATGTATGTATGTATGTATGTATGTATGTATGTATGTATGTATGTATGTATGTATGTATGTATACACCATAAAAATGCATAAACATATCCTATGAAAATAAATACGTACAGAATACTTGAAAGGTAAAGCATAGGCATACAAAATTAAAACATAATGAATTTATACGATAAAAAGTATACACTCTGAAAGGAGTTTTAAGAATATAGGAGATTACGACGACGCTTAAGTATACTAACGGAAAAAAGTAACTGTGCATAACATAAATTTGCATAAAATAAAAATTATTTGAAAAGTTATAAAAATAAACCTAAATAAACACGTAGCAAAGCACTTTGCATGGAATTTGATGTCACGTATCGCACGTGGCACGTGCACTTTGTGCACAATGAACTTACTCACTTTTGCATGCTTTGTGACACCTGAAGTTCACACACCTGATATTGAAAATTGAAGAACGATTGACTATTCTCTAAACTTTGAATTTTGTGGAAAACACGTAAACTTTAACCTAAACTGTGTGTACGTCATGCCACGGCTTACAGAAAATCAGCGTCTCTGCGCCGTGGGTATGCTGGAGACTGGAATCGCCAAAATGAAGTGGCCAGAGATTTTGGAGTCCATCGAAACACGATTTCATCTCTATGGAGACGTTTTCAACATTATGGCAACACGAGAGATTTGCGTCGGACCGGCCGTCCACGCGTGACGTCACGTCAGCAAGAAAACCACATGCGTCTGACCCATCTAAGAAATCGATTCCAGACTGCCAGTTTGACTGCTCAGGAACAATCCTGGCTTACGTCCAATCAGTTCCAGGACTGTACGGAAGCGATTGAGTGCGCACAATATCCAGCCCTGATGGCCTGCAATACGTCCAATTTTGTTTCAACGTCACCGACAGGCACGTCTTGCCTGATGCAGACAGCATCTACGGCATATGAAACAGGATTGTTATGGTGTTTTGTTCTCTGACAAGTCGAGGTTTCTTTTGGACAGCTCAGATGGCAGGGCAAAGGTGTACAGACGGCGATGCTGAACGGTATGCTTCGTGTCTATTGTTCAACGTTGACAGTTTGGTAGCGAAAGCGTTATGGTATGGGGTGCTATCACATCTCATGGTCCGACACAACTTGTCATTGTCAGTGGCAATCTGACTGCGATACAGAGATGAGATTATTGGGCCTCATGTGCAGCCGTTCATTCAAGGACAGAGACGTAACTTCACGCTTCAGCAAGATAATGCCCGTCGACATGTCGTTTGTTTTGTGACAGATTTCCTGAGACAGCGGAACACTCCTGTACTCCCCTTGCCAGCTGTTTCTCCGGACCCGTTCCCTAAGCACGTTTGGGGTGAGATGGAGAGACGTTTACGTCAAACCCAGAATCAGCCATTGACTTAGCTGAATTGGAACAAGCTTTGGTTCAGACATGAAACATCATTCCCCAAGCTTTCTTCAATTGCTTAGTGTCGTCTATGCGTCGTCGTTGTCAAACCTGCATCAACACCAATGGTGGACACACACGATGATGCTGAATTTGTGAACTGACTTTTGACACCACATCTCTTCAAGGGCTTGTCATGATGCCTAGTGTCAAATCATACAGATTTAGATCTCATCCTGTTAACAGTTAAACATTGATTAAGGAAAACACCACAAATCATGTTATTTTCTTTTTGCACTAAAATATGGTATAAAATCAAATAATGCACAGTTACTTTAATTCGCTAGTATATATTAAAGCAGGTTTTGGCACATTTAACCATTAAGTGGTTATGACTTAAAATAGCTGTGAAGTTCATGCTCTCTGGCTACAAATGGACCTATCTCTGCTGTATATGTATGATATCCAAGTGGATCCGGGGCGGTGGGGTAGCCTAGTGGTTAAAGCGTTCGCTCGTCACGCCGATGACCCGGGTTCCATTCCCTACATGGGTAGAATGTGTGAAGCCCATTTCTTGTGTCCCCCGCCATGATATTGTTGGAATATTGCTAAAGGAGGCGTAAACCTCACTCACTCACTCACTCACTCACTCACTCACTAGTGGATCCAGGAGAGCCTACTGAACATTTCTAGGCACTATGTATAAGCTACGATTCATTCTGTCAAAATTTTGTACAAATATGTCTTTTCCAGAACACAGATTACAGTAGACACAAGTGTAATATGACATATATAATTACAAATGGACCTATCTCTGCTGTATATGTACACATGCGTCGGGTTTATGATCATGTTTTCAAACATGAGCATCAAACTGTGTTTTCAGTCCACTCCCAAGACGTTTGGCTTGGAACACAATCAACTGGGCCAGTGAGCTTCACCAGGATCACCAATCGTGCCGCTTCTTACAAAAATCATTTGGGTGTTTGTGATTTAATCTTAAAGACCGCTACGCATTCGTTAGAACCGTTCAAATGTAACATAGGCTTTATTAGTACGTGGCGGCTAAAACTGACCAAAACGCACAGATTCTGCAAATCGTTGGGTTGTTTAAATAAAACAAATGCGCCTAAAGTAGAGTGTAAAAGTGAACACGTCACACTTATGCATGGTATGACGGACGCGTTTTGTTATTCCGGACGTGTGTGTCTGTGTGTGTGTGTCTGTGTGTGTGTGTTTCTGTGTGTGTGTGTGTCTGTCTGTCTGTCTATACATGTGTGTAAATGTATTAAACCTGAAGAATAGGTATTTATGTAATATCATCTTTGGTAAAATGTACTTTCCACAAATACACCAAACATTATGCTAGTATGATGAATAATAATGATCATGTTTCCTCAATATGTTAAAAAGGTGACAGCATAATTAACCTTAACAATGAACAAACTTGAAAACTTTCTTCGTAGACCTCGATACAAGATGCCATGAGGACATGATGCCATCTCCAAACGCCGATGTGTCCATGTCTTGAGATTTACCCAGATATAACGCCCTTGCCCTTTGTGTAAAAAGGCGAGACACTGGCGACCATCGAGAACAAGCTTAGTTGTCTTAATATGGACGATCACTGCTACCGTTATCATTAGACTATGTATTACCATATACACAGCTCGCCGGACCTGTATTGTCAGAAGGATCAGTGGGGTAGCCTGGTGGTTTAAGCGTTCGCTCGACACGCTGAAGATCCGAGTTCGATTCCACACATGGGTACAATGTGTGAAGCCCATTGCTTGTGACCCCGCTGTGATATTGCTTAAATACTAGTATTGCTCAAAGCGCCGTTAACCTCACTCTCTCACTTTTGTCAGTATCACAAATTCAAAATCACTGTTATTTTATAGAAGACCAAAAACGTGTTGTCGCAAGTTTGCTACTCAACGTGTTTTGAACAATGAGTGAACCACTTCAGATAACTGAAAAGGATTGCTCACCTTACGCATGTCAGAACCTCTTGTACTGAGCTTAATGTATCATTATTTCGTGCATGTGCCTGCTGTTAATATTTCCACAGCACATACAAATAATCTTCATTTCAAACTCACCAGTGATAAGTTGGGCGATATGCCGTCTAAAAGTGTACTTAGATATGGAAATGTCAGATCACACTTAGAACGACTGAGTCAAAGACTGATTATATTCAAACTGGTGTCTTTATATAACCTGTATAATTTATTATTGTAAAATTTTCCGCTAGCAAGCAAACTCAGTTTGCAAAGAGTTGAAAAGAATACTTCATAAAATATTTTATTATGCACTGAAACTGATCACCATTACACAGAGCCCGTAGTGTCAGAGAATGTTTTATAAATATTTCCTGTTCGTCGTTTAATGGATCAACTTGCTGATGCTGCGTTCTGATAAGGAAGTTTGTCCTGATTTAACAAAATACATGTTACAGTAGTACATGAGCTGCCATGGACCTGGTAAGTCCACTCATTCCTTCAGTGACCATCATAGTATAGTTGGGTGGTGGGGTAGCCAAAATGGTTAAAGCGTTCGCTCGTCACGCCGAAGACCCGGGTTCGATTCCCCACATGGGCACAGTGTGTCAAGCCTCTTACTAGTGTCCCCCGCCGTGATATTGCTGGAATATTGCTACAAGCGGCGTAAAACTAAACTCACTCATAGTATAGTTCCACTGAGATCGCTATACAGATCAATACATGAACTACTATTGCTTAGTCACTATAATCAGGTGCTCCTCTCTATTAATACATTACACGACGGCAATGGTGCGGTCCAATGTGGAGCTGAGGTACAAAATATTTCTTTAGGTCAAAGTGAGGAACAAATTCATCTGGACGTGGATACTTGCTGGTATTTGTGTTTCTGTGACTGTAACTGGACGTGGACCCGACGCTCAAAGTAAGTCGATTTGATTGTTGTAGATTAACTTGCACATCAGTGCGTTACTGTTATACTTGCAAGTTACAGCTTATTATGTTATATTGGTATCGCTGTGTTATATCATTTTAATACAAGCAGCCGCACATTACAGCCTACTTACAAATATAACAAATCCTATATGTTTTATTCGTAAGCATAATTTCAATATGAATAAAGTATCACACATGTAACAAGTAAACAGTTGTATTAAATGCGATATGTTACATTTACCCTTTGAAGCTGCCACGATCAGTATTAGCCAAGTCGGTGATGTCTGTGTTTACAGATTACACGCATGATCCTTACATCGTGTCTCCGGAGAGAGTCCAGTACGGCAGTGATGTAAACATAACTTGCTATATTTTAATTGAAGTAAAGTTCGTTTCGTTCATCTATTTCATTTGGAAGAAAATGATGAACGATTAATCCATGGAGGGAACTATGACATGAACCGAGGGTCTGGAATTTGTAAACAGCATAGACGATACTACACCAATACTCTGACAGTTAAAACCACGAGGAGGAGTGATGAAGGAAAGAGATACACGTGTCAGGTTCAAGTGGAAATTGGAGCATGGTCATCGTCCTTGAATAATGAGGAGTACATATTTGGACAGGAAGGTGAGTCCGATATAAGGTATCATCATTATTGAATAAAAATACATTTACCATAAGAAAGACTATTTCTGTGGAAATGTGCCATAAAACATTACATGCGATGACATCATAATGGAAGCATATTCATCTTTATTCCCACTTAATACTGACATTAAAACATACATACCCTGACATACTTGCGTGCAAACCATGGCCATATTTTATTGTCTTCTAATTGCTAAACGGACGCTTTCTCAATGTTTCAGTCACATCTACTACCACCACAGCTGCAAGTGAAGGCGAGGATGTTGCCATATTCCTGACATGGAGGGTGATGTTTGATGTGATGTGGTTTTGGTCTCCTAGTGGTGGACTCATTGCCACCATACAATCTATATCTGTCTGTATCTGGCCAAACAGTCGATCGAAAGTGAAGGTCATCAGACTGTTCACATCACCATACCGGAAAACAGTTAAGTTGATGATCTTCAATGCTACGAAGGAGGATTCTGGACGTTATTACTTGAGGGATGTCAAACGAAGATCATTTTATGGTGGCCACAACCTTGTTATTGCTGGTAAGTTGCGAGTATATATTTGAATATATAAAGCATTATCAATAAGAGTACCGTTCTTTGTCCTACGGCATCTACACTTGACGTCCTACGATAACTAATTCCCGGTAATGTTACACATGTGCAATAGAAATTCGCTGTGAAGCAAACCAGTTTGGGCTCAAGATATGTTCAACGGTACTACAGGTACAAATGTCTTGGATGCAGTTGATCAGTTTTATCTGGACGTTGTTTTGAATATAAAACACATGACACTCTCCTTGGCAGGGTAACTAAGAGGTCATTAGGGTTAATAAATAGTGGTTTGCATCCTTCAAAACAAGTTGAAAGTAAAAATATCGTCATATGTGTATACGTGGAAAAAGGTATGTGGCCACTGCTAAAGAACCTTCATCTTTTTCATTTGTCAAACAAATTATCAAGCTAAACTACCATGTTTTAGATGCAGATTCAGAATGGGAGATCACATCACTAAAGTTGTCAGTATTCTAATAAAAATCCTTAGTTTATAAGGAGGAATAAAAACTTGACAGACTTGAATTGTTTAGAATGTATCCTTTTTTCAGATCGTAAGAGTACACAGGTCTCAACTAGTATTGTACCTTCCACCATTGGTCAAACAAAACCTCAAACGGCGGCTCCAGCCTCCATAACGTCAGCAAGTACTCAGGGTACGTTACGATCGAAACGCTCTCTCTTAACAAGATATTGCTGCGGGGCACCTTCATACCCCACTGTCCCAAGTTTCACAAATTTAACATGATACATCTCGACGAGATCTCAAACGGTTAAATTGATATTATTTCCCTGCATGAAATTTCCCGGTATTTGAAAATAAAATATGTAGAGTTTGGAGGTTCGAATGCTGTCAATTTTAGAGCAAATATTTAAACTATATGTCTCGAGCCAACACTTTATAATTCCTAATATAACAATCCTTTCAGATTTTGCATTTTACCTGTGCTTATGATCCACCCGTGAAGGTCCGGGTTAGAATGCACCTTCAGTAACCCATGCTTGTCGTAAGAGGCGACTAACGGGATCGGGTGGTCAGGCTCGCTGGCTTGGTTGACACATGTCATCGGTTCCCAATTGCGCAGATCGATGCTAATGTTGTTGATCACTGGATTGTCTGGTCCAGACTCGATTATTTACAGACCGCCGACATATAGCTGAGTGCGGCGTAAAACTAAACTCACTCACTCACACTCACTCACTTTGTTTTATGATCCAGATGGTGGATGGTATTGCTATTTGCTTCCTGTTGTAGTAGATGCCACATCTAACACAGTGACTGTCACAAGCACACAAACCACAGCTGCGACAACTACCGCGGTACCTCTTTCTACAGCTACAACCGCCAACACTGACCAAAGTAATGTCATTCATTATTACAAAGTATTAAAATATTTTGAGAAAAAATCTTGATCGATTTCATTTCATTTAAATAAATGTGTGTGTCGTCTAAGTTTTCGGGTTTTTTTTCATAAACCTTTTGTAGCAGTTCAAAGTCGAAAGACTAACATGATTTTTCTTAAACCCAGTATCTTCTGCGACATTAAACTCTATTGGACCAAAGGATTCACAACACAGATGGGAAACATGGTTTCAGTTAGTTACTGACTGCCAGGAAAGAGATCAGTTTGGAAACTGAAAAGGAATTTTATATTTCAGGCGTTACTGCGGTCGTCCTTTACATCATCGTCGGGTGTTGTGTCCTGTTTATTGTGCTGACTGTGCTCATTGTTGGAGCTATTGTGTTGATAAGGATCAAACGACAAGGTAACCTAATTTGATGTGTTCATAAATCCAGATTACTGTTTAGGTGAGTGAGTGAGTTGTGCTTTACGCCACTGTGAATCCAACGGGCATGTGTGCGGTCCTCTATACCCAGAAACAGTCAGAACACTCATGCCTTCATTATCATCTATCAGGGTGGTTATCTCCCTTTGTCCAGGGCATGATTATTTGCTGGGACCATTAACTGTTAGCTTTCCTTGTTAAGCGTCCACCATTGTCATCTGATCACTAGTCTTGTCACACATGTACTTATACAGGCATCTGCTTTGTAGTTTTCTTCATGTGGTGAAGGAGTAAAAATATACTCTGAATGTCGTGGCCCTCATATGACAGATGTTGACTTCAATAAATGTTCATCCTTTTCATGTATCACTTCTAATTGTCATTCAGAGACCCTTTAATATCAGCTTATAATCACTTTCATCCCTCTGACCTTGGTTTCGTTTTCAAAATAATGTCAAACATGAAACATTAAGGTCATCATTCCTATTTTTCAGATTACTGGAACTTAAGGTAAGGGTATTCTGTTTATTCACCAATTGTTCGAATCAGTCATATAATCTTACTTGTGGTCATTTTCACAAGGAAACATTCCACTGAGAACTTAAGACCTATCTTTTTGTCTGTGATCTGACAGGCCTTTGAAAAAACGCCTCTGAGCAAGCTAGACGGAACTTGGCATTTAACATTTAGATTATAATACAGTCATATATGTAAATGGTATACACGTAGCCTTCACTAAGGCTTAATATTTTTCACAGTTCAAGACGATCGTACATCACACCAATGCAGAACATGCCAGAAAATATCGATAGTCGAGGCTATGCTGAAATCGACGATGCTGATTTACTTGAATGTAGCGCAGGCAACCTTGCCCAACATGTCGGTAATATCCAATCTGATGACAATATTCCACCTGGTGCAAGAATCGGACGAGAAAGGCAACAATTAGAACGTAACTGCAGGACGGTAGATGAGGATGACGAATATGAAGAGGTGAAACCACTGGACGATATCAACAGTGAAGAACTTCCAGAAGAGCAAGAAAAGAGAGCTCCAATGCAGCAACCTGACCAGGACAGTGGGGAAGACATTACGGGTGAAATGAACATAACATTACCTGAAGCCTCCTCTCATTCAGATCCCCTGCTTGCTGTTGCTGATTGGTCGGTCCATGGAAGAGACTCTGGAAGTATGACAGCAGGGCGTATCGATGCGCTTGCAGAAACAAGCTTCATGACTCAAGACCCTGATGAAACATGGAATGCACCCCTCGGTACTGTTGATACTGAGGAGTTATCAGCGACTATAGAAATATTTCCCGAAGTCGGAAGGGTGACAGCAACCAATGCAGGAGCACATCAGCTCTCGATGGAAGGAAGAGGGGATAATGCTGAAAGTGAAGCACGTGGTGTCACTAATATAACAACAGATAATTATGACAGTCTGATGCCGCACCGATCTGGTGACACATACACAGCGCTGGGTCATACAACGGATAAATAGTTCTCCAGCATCTGTTTCAAGTGCTGCATTAAACATGGAAAAATGAATTATGTTTTTTTGTACCACTTTATCTTGTGGAGAATCAAATGACGCTTGTTCTGAAATATACAAATAAAACTTTAATATGTTCACTTGAACGATACCTTTGTTTTAACTTGAAGGAACCATGAGCATATATATATTATTTATTTTAATTGTACATATTTCTGCAGTTTAGGCAACAAACATTGTTAGTATTAGTGAATATATTGTGTCATACATCGAAACGCTTACTTTACACTTGTGTTACATAGTGTGTTGTTTGTTTGTTTGTTTGTTGTTTAAGGTCGCACTCAGCAATATTCCAACTAAATGACGGCGATCTGTAAATAAACGAGTCTGGACCAGACAATCCAGTGATCAACAGCATGAGCATCGATCTACGCTTTTGGGATACGATGACTTGTGTCAACAAGTCAGCGAATCTTACAATTCGATCCAGTTAGTCGTCAATTCTCACCAGGATCGTCACTGGTCTTATAGCTGGAGTATTGCTGAGTGCGGCATAAAACTAAACTTGCTCACTCACTCATGGGTCTTGAGATAAGGCACAGATAGTTTAGGCCTTCGGTACTGACATGTTTAGTCGTCAGCACTTCATGTACATATTACTTCCGTTCTGAGACCTAAACGCGTGGCGTACTGAATGGACTCTGCTAACACATTAACATGAAGAAAACGTGAGGAGGTATTTAATGTACACATGCTATTTTACATCTTATTGCACATAATTTACTTCAATAAAAACTATGCGTCATTTTGTTTTTTGTTGTTGTCATTGTTGTAGTGATATGGCGGCAGGAAATGTAACAAGAGGAAAATGTGTTGAGTTAATCTATCTCCGTCTTGTCTGTTTTGGTATTTCTTTATAATTACCCCTGTTCGTGTGGGGTCTGAAACTATGTATGTCCACAGAGGAAAGCTATAGTTTCGTATCAAGTTCAAAATAAATGTCATGGTATATAGCATTGTTCAACAGCTACTACATAAACGGTTTGTTGGACCAGGAGAGCCTGCTAAACATTTCTAGGTACTGTCTATAAGCTCTGTAATTCTGTCAAAATTTGGTACAAATATGTCTTTGCCAGAATACAGATTACAGTAGATACAAGTGTATATAACTTATATGATTACAAATGGATCTATATTTGCTGTATATGTACACATGCGTAGGGTTTAGACAGACAGACAGACAGATAGTATGAGTCATACCTCATATACACATTAAAAGTACACGTTGAATAGGTAAAATATGACAATGTAAGTTACGATAGACATGTATATATTTACCCACACACATACATTTATATAATATACCATAAAATGCATAAACATATAATATAAAAATAAATACATACAGAATACTTAAAAAGTAAAACATAGGCATACAAAATTAAAACATAATGAATTGATACGATAAAAAGTATACTCTCTAAATAGGAGTTTTAAGAATATATGAGACTACGACGACACGTAAGTATATTGGAACAAGCTTTGGCACATTTAACCATTATGTGGCCATAACTTAAAATTGTTGTGAACTTCATACTCTCTGGCCACAAATGTACCTATCTCTGCTGTATATGTACACATGCGTCGGGTTTATGATCATGTTTCCAAACATCAGCGTCCAACTGTGTTTTCAGTCCACTCCCAAGACATTTGGCCTGGAACGCGACCTGGGCCAGTGTGCTTCACTAGGATCACCAATTGCGTCGCTTCCTACATCAGTTGAGTGTTCGTGATTTAATCTTAGCGACCGTTATCCATTCGTTAAACCCATTCAAATGTAACATAGCCCCTATTAGTACGTGCTAGCTAAAACTGACTAAAACGCACAGATTCTGAAAATAGTTGAATTTCTTAAATAAGAAAATACGGCTAAAGTTGTGTGAAAAAAGTGAGCACGTCACACTTATTCATGGTGTGAAGGATGCGTTCTATTATTCCTGCCGTGTGTGTGTGTGTGTGTGAACGCCTATACGTCTTATTTTCCGAATGCGTATGTCTTTGTAAAGGTGTTAAACCTGAATACGTATTTATATGTAATATCACCTTATCATTTCACAACTACCACAAGACATTCTGCTAGTCTGGAGACTAATTATTGTCATAATATGACTCTTGCTTGACAACGGTACAAGAATCTGTATCGAAACGTCGCACTCACGAAATAAAGAAGTTGTTATCCATAAAAAACGTGTTCCATATTGTACGTCTCAACTTCTAAAATGCCACTCAAACAAGTAATTATTATCATGTTTCCTCAATCTGTTCAAGAAGTGACAACAGAATTATCTGTAACAGTGATGCATCAGGCGTCCGAAGCAACTTTAAAACAATATGCACTTTCTTTGTAGATCTCGATACAAGTTATCGTGAACACATGATGTCATCTTCAAACGTCGATGTGTCCATGTCTTGAGATTTACCCATATATAACGCCCTTGCCCTTTGTGTGAAAAGGCGACCAACGGGAACAACCTTACTTGTCTTAATATAGATCACTGCTACCGTTATCATTAGACTATGGATTGCGGTGTACACAGTTCGCCAGTCCTGTATTGTCAAAAGGATCGGTTGGGTAGCCTGGTGGTTTGAGCTGTCGCTCGTCACACTGAAGAAAGGGGGTTCGATTCCCAATGTGGGTACAATGTGTGAAGACTATTTCTGGTCTATTTGCATCTCTACGTACATTGGACAATGAGTGAACCACTTCAAATAACCAAATAGGATTGCACCCATGATATTGCTGAAATATTGCTAAAAGCAACGGGAACGTAACTCACTAACTCACTTTTGTCAGTATCACAAATATCACTGTTATTCTATAGAAAACAAATAAACGTGTATACGCTATACAGATCAATAAATGAATTAATTTTGCTTCATCACTATACAAATGTGATCCTGTCTATTAATACCTTATATGACGGCAATGATGCGGTCAGATGGGGAGCTGAGATACAAAATATCTTGTTAAGGTCAAAATGAGGAAAAAATTCATCTGGGCGTAGATACGTGCTGGCATTTATGTTTCAGTGAATGTAACTGGACGTGGACCAGATGTTCAGAGTAAATCGAGTTGATTGTTGTAGATTAACCTACTCATCAGTGCGTTGCTCTTATACTTGCAAGCAATCTGTAACTTTTTGGGGAAACTGATCAACACCAATGATGGTATCGCTGTATGATTTCATTTACATATTACTTACTTAAAGTTATAACAAATCGAGGAAGTTCTTATTCATATGGAGGGCGGTGGGGTAACCTAATGTGTGAAGCCTATTTCTGATGTCCACCTGCCGTGATATTGCTGGACTATTGCTAAAAGCGGCGTAAAACCCAACTCTCTCATTCACTCACGTATTCATATGCAGTTGTGTTGACTTTGAATACGAGTATAGTATCACACATGTAGCGAGTAAACAGTTGTATTACTTGCGATATGTTACATTGACAATTTGAAGCTGCCACGATCAGTATCAACCAAGTCGGTGATGTTTGTGTTTACAGACTACACCCATGATCCTTACATCGTGTCTCCGGAGAGAGTCCAGTATGGCAGTGATGTAAACCTGACATGCTATATTTTAATTGAAATAAAGTTCAAGTTCATCTCCTTCACGTGGAAGAAACATGATGAACGATTAATCCATGGAGGGAATTATGAGATGAGTTCAGAGTCAGGGACATTTGTAAATAGCATACACAAATACGACACCAATACTCTCACAGTTAAAGACACGAGGATGACTGATGAAGGAAAGAAATACACGTGTCAGGTTGAAGTGGCCGTTGGAACATGGTCATCGTCCTTTAACACAGGAGTACATATTTGGACGGGAAGGTGAGTCCGATATAAGGTATCATCATTATTGAATAAAAGGCACTTACTATAAGAAGCACTTTTCATGTGTAAACGTTAGAGGTAAACATTACATGCGGTGACATCATAATGGAAGATTGGTCATCTTAATTCACAACAAATAACATAAAAACTGTCTGTTAATTGCTTAACGGACATGCTGAAACATTCTCTCAGTTTTATTATTTCAGTTCCTTCTACAACCATAACAACTGCAAGTGAAGGCGAGGATGTCACCATATTCCCGACATGGAGGTTGACGGGGTCTTCGTCTCCTAGTGGTGAACTCATTGCCACCATACAATCTATATCTGTATATGTCTGGCCAAACAGTCGATCGAAAGTGAAGGTCATCAGACTGTTCACTTCACCCTACCGGAAAACAGTTGAGTTGATGATCTTCAATGCTACGAAGGAGGATTCTGGACGTTATTACTTGAGTGATTCCAATCGAAGATCATTTCATTGTGGCCACAACCTTGTTATTGCTGGTAAGTCTTGTGTATATGTTTGGATATGTAAAACATTATCATCAAGAGTACCGCCCTTTCTCCTGTTGTATTTACCCTCTGAAATTAAAGAGGGTAATGTTGCGCATGTGTAATAGAAAATCACTGTGATGAAATCTATTTAAATGTGTTCAACGGTACTACAGGAAAAAACTAATGGACGCAGTTGATCAGTTTAACAAGGTGGCGGGTTTGAAATCTAAAACACATGACACTCGCCTTATCGAGGTAGCAGAGAGGTGATTAGTGTTAGAGAGGTAAATAATGAATTGCATCCTTCAAAACACGTGATGAATTAAAATATCGCCATTTGTGTACATGTGGAAAAAGGTATGTGGCCACTGCTTAACAATCGTCACGTGTTTCAATTGTCAAACAAATTATCAAGCTTAAGTACCATGTTGTAGATGCAGACTAGTGTTTATAATGGGTGATAGATTTATGTTGAAAACATCCATGAAAGTTGTTAGCATTCTCATCAATATATAAGGAACAATAAACACTGATTTGTTTAGAATGCATCTTTTCCTTCACATCATAAGAGTACAAAGGTCAGAACTATTTCGGTATCTTCCACCCAGGGTCAAACGAAATCTGATACGACGACTCTAGCCCCCAGAACGACAGCAAGTACTCAGTTTACGTGTCAATAACGCACTTTCTTGAAACAAGATGTTGTTGAGGGGCAATTTTTTTTTCATACCCAACTGTTTCATAAAACAAAAATATTACATGTAGACGAAATCTTAAACAATAATTTAAAAATATTTCCCTGTATTAAATACTAGAAGTATAATATGTAGAGTTTTAGAGGGTCGCATACACTTGAATCCAATACTTTCACATACATTTCAGAGTAATTTTTTTAAGCATTGAAATATTATTGCAAGGAATTTTATACATTTCCCATTGTTTAACTAACATTTTGTGTCCTCTTTACTGTTACTGTTTCAGTCAGAAACCCTATGTTTTATTATTCTTATAACAGTTCGAGGTCAATATGTGTAAAACTATACATATGCTATTTTCGTAAAACCTCATCCGACCCTCACATACACAACACATTGGAGACAGGGTTTCAGTTTGTTACTGACTTTGTTTATGATCCAGATTGTGGATGGTATCACTATTTGCTTCCTGTTATAGTAGATGTCACATCTAACACAGTGACTGTCACCAGCACACAAACCTAAGCTGCGACAACTACCGGGGTACCTCTTTCTATAACTACAACCGTCAACACTGATCAAAGTAATGCCATTCATTATTACAAAGTATTGAAATATGTTGAGAAGAAACTCGATCCTTTCATTTCCTGTAAATATGTGTGTGACCACTGTGATGGTTTCCTTTCAGTCATAAACCCTTTGTTTTATTATACTTATTACAGTTGAAGGTTGATGATAAACACACGCGTGCGTGCATGCATGTGTGTGTGCGCGCGCGCGTGTGTGTAATATAAATCTCATTTGAACCAAGCATACATAAAACACATAGGAAATACGGTTTCAGTTTCTTACTGACTGCCAGGAAATACATCAGTTTGGAAACTGAAATGGAATTTTATATTTCAGATGCTGATACAGTTGTCCTTTATATCATCGTCGGGTGTTGTTTCCTGTTTATTGTGCTGACTATATTTATCGTTGCAGCTATTGTGTTGCTAAGGAACAAGCGACAAGGTAACCTAATTTAATGTGTTCACAAAACCAGATTACTGTTTAGGTGAGTGAGTGAGTTGTGGTTCACGCCTGTGTATACTCAGAAGCAGTCAGAAAACTAATGCCTTCAGTATCACCTATCAGGGCGGTCATCTACCTTTTGTCCAGGGCTTGATTATTGGCTGGGACTATTAACGACTAGGTTAACACCTGACTTCTACTCGATCGTTGGCAGTACCTTGCTGCACCAATTAACAACTGGCTTCCCTTTATAAGTGTCCACCATTGTTGTCTAATCACTATTGTTGTGACACTTGTACTTATACAGGTATCTGCTTCGTAGTTTCCTTCTGATGAGTGAGTACAAATATACACCGAACGTCGTGGCCCTCATATTACATATGTTGACATCAATAAATGTTGACCCTTTTTATGTTTCACTTCTAACTGTCATTCAAATACCCTTTAATACCAGCTTATACTCACGTCCATGCCTCTGACCTTTTTTAAAATAATGTCAAACATTAAGGTCATTATTTCTACAATTTTTCAGATTACTGGAACCTGAGGTAATTGTATTCTGCTTATTCTCCAATTGTTTGAATGGGTCATATAATACTGCGTGTCATCATTTTACCATGTAATAAGGAAACATTCCGCCGAGAACTAAACACCTATCTTTTTCTCTGTGGTTTGACAGGCCTATAGAGACGCCTTTGAGAGACTACATTGAATTCGCACGTTAATGTTGATTAGTATACATTTATATTCATATGATATACACGTAACCTTCTCTAAGGCTTACTATATTTCACAGGTCACGACGATCGTACATCACACCAATGCAGAACATGTCAGAAAATATCGATAGTCGATGGTATGCTGAAATCGACAATGCTGATATACGTGAACGTGGCGCAGGGAACATTGTGAAACCTGTTGGTAATATCCCACCTGCACGTGGTGCAAGAAACGGGCGAGAAAGGCAACGATTAGAACGTAACTGTAGGACGGTAGATGAGGATGACTAATAGGAAGAAGTGAGACCACTGGACGCTGTCAACAGTGAAGAACTTGCAGAAAAGCAAGAAAAGAGAGATCAAATGCAGCAACCTGACAAGAAAAATAAGGACGACATGACTGATGAAATGAATAGGACATTGCCTGACGCCTCCTCTCATTCAGAGCCCATGGTTGCTGTTTCGTCGGTTCCTGGAAGAGAATCTGGAAGTATGACAGCAGGGATTATCAATCTGTCTGTACAAACAAGCTTCATGACCCAAAGATCTGATGAAACATGGAATGAACCCGTCCGTACTGTTGATATTGAAGCGTTATCGGCGACCGTAGAAATAGTTCCTTAAGTAGGAATGATGACAGCAAATAATACAGGAGCACATGATCTCTCGATGGAAGGAAGAGGGGATAATGCTGAAAGTGAACCACATGGTACAACTGACTAGAGATATGAGTGAGTTAGTGAGTGAGTTAGTATTTAACGTCACATCGGCAATATTGCAGCCATATCGTGACGAGAACATTTTACATTGTAATGGAATATGTCTATATTATAAAACCTGTCATCGAAGGACAGTAAAACAACTAGAATATCACAATTAGATTTAAAACTAGTGTGGAAGGTTAAAACTAATAGCACTATTAGGACAATACAAGATAAAAACAGGCTATAGATCGCCAACAACTGAAGGTCGATCACCATACTAGGGACCATGGGGACTTACTGTTCCTTGGCTACCTGCATGGGCCCTAGTTGGATTTACACCATCCCTTCAGCTGCTGGCGATTGTAAGAAATGTTAGCTACAATTAAAATGACAAAAATGCTACGTTTAAAAATCCTGTAAGTTTAAATTGACTTTCGAAGTTTTGGGACTTACGTACCCTCTCAGGGGGACAATAATTTTACAATACTTCAACCCCTCTTCAGAGTACAGCCACTAACAATCTAAGTTACTAATCAAACTACCAATCATTAAAACACAGCTATATACAGAATATATTAATCAAAATTCATTAATGAAATCAATTTCTTTTAAAAAACCAAGAATTAAATGAAGATGAACAGAATTAAAAAGATCCTTAACAGTTTTAACATTGAAATATTTACCCCTTATGATGGAGAATTCAACACAGTGAAGCAGGAGATGCTTGACTGTGACTCTCTCATCACAAGGGATACAAAACGGAGGATCGTCACCATTTAACAAATATTTGTGAGTATACCTTGTATGGGAAATACGACATCGTCGCATGATGACCTCTTCAACCCAAGTAAGTGTAACCGATATTGGGTTTTATTTCATGTAATTTATTGATACCTACTTGGGTGTCCCACTTCTTCTGCATCAGATCACGAATGTAGGTTCTAATGCAAGCTTTGTAATCAGAGTAAGGAATAAGAAGTGGTGTCACAGATTTGTTGAGTGTTGCCTTGGCAGCAAGATCGGCAGTCGTGTTCCCAGAAATGCCAACGTGGCTGGGTAACCAACAAAAGACGATGTCGCATTGGCCAGTGGCAAGTTGATTGTACAATTCAATAATTTCTAATAAAAGTGGATGTTTACAAGAAATATTTTAATAGCTTGAAGACACGAAAGAGAATCGGAAAAGATTATGTACTGTCTATGTTTAGGATGTCGTTGAATATATTTAAGAGCTGTTAATATGGCGTTTGCTTCTGCTGTAAAAATGGAGCTGTTATCTGGTATTCTAGAAGATATTGTTCTGGATCCAATGACAGTGGCACATGACACCGCGCCACCGTCCTTGGACACATCTGTAAATAAGGATTTGTAAGTATTATATTTAGTTTTTAGTTGATTATATTCTTGTTTATATTGTAAGTCATTAGTTTCAGATTTCTTAAACTTTGTCAGAGTTAGGTCAACTTCAGGCCTAACCAGTTGCCAAGGAGGAGAAGAAAGAAGACGGAAAGGAGCTATATTTTCTAGCTCAATGCCGGCAGCAGAAATGAATGGTTTAATTCTTAAACCAAGAGGTGGAACAAGAGAAGGCTTTTTGTTGTATAAATCCTCATAAAGAGGATTAAAGACACATTTGAATGCAGGGTTGGACTCGTTAGAAGAAAGTTTTGTGATATACTGCAAGGACAATTTTATACGGCGTTGTGTAAGAGATGGTTCATCTGCCTCGACGTAGAGACTGTCAACAGGTGAAGTTCTAAAGGAACCAAGACAAAGTCTTAGACCTTGGTGATGGACAGAATCTAATAGTTTTAAGTTGCTTTTGCAGGCTCCACCATATACGATGGAGCCATAATCAAGTTTCGAGCGGACCAGTGATCGATATAGATGTAGGAAAGTGGCTTGATCCCCTCCCCACTTAGAATTTGAAACGACTTTCAACAAGTCAAGTGCCTTCAGGCATTTAGTTTTAAAGGATTTAATATGCGGCAGAAACGTTAACTGGGAGTCGAAAATTAAACCCAAGAACTTGGCCTCCTTAACAACTTTGATAGGAGTGCCATTGAGAAACAGTTCCGGGTCTTTATGCGGTTTATATTTACGACAGAAATGTATGCAATTAGTTTTTGATTTAGAAAACTTAAAACCATTTTCAAGACACCATTTATTTATTTTATTTAAACACAACTGCAATTGCCTTTCAATAGTATGCATATTTTTACCACGACAAGAAATATTAAAATCATCCACAAAAAGTGATCCATCAATTGAATCATTTAAAACCTTGGATAAACTGTTGATCTTGATACTAAAAAGTGTGACAGACAAAATACTGCCTTGTGGGACACCCTGATCCTGAGTGTAATAGTCGGACAGTGTTGAACCCACTCGGACTTGAAATTGTCTGTCTGTTAATGATATAGGTCGATAATTAGATGCATCTGAATGGTCCTTGCCAGGTTTAGGAACAGGAACAACAATAGCATTCCGCCAAGAAGGAGGAAAATTTCCTGAAGTCCAAATTTGATAAAAAATGTCTAAAGGTATTTCAAGACACGATTTCGGCAAAAGTTTTAGGAGCTGATAGTGAATATTATCAGCCCCTGCTGCCGTATCATGAGCTTGCCCAAGGGCAGTTTGTAGCTCATGTAGTGAAAAGACTTCGTTGTAATCTTCTCCATTTTCATAGTTGAAATGAATGTTCTTTTTTTCCTCGATCTCCTGATATTTCTGAAATTCAGGAAGATAGTTTGATGAAGACGAGTGTTTAGTTAATGTTTCACCAAGTTTGTTTGCGATATCTGAAGTATTCTCCAAAAAAAGATCTCCTTCCTTGAGGTGTTTAACACTCGTTTTTGAACCCTTGCCTTTGATTCTTTGGACCATATTCCGCACCTTTGATAGAGGTGTGCGGGAATTAATCTTGGAGACGTAGGTTCTCCATGATTGACGTTTATTTTGTTTGAAGGTACGTCGAGCTTTAGCTCTGGTTACCTTAACATTATTCAAATTATGTACACTTGGATGTTTGCAAAAACACAATGATGTGAATTTAGACCAGTTAGCCTTTGAAAAATTCCACCTTGATGAAGGCGGAACGTCAGATGGGTTACTGAC